AATCACCACCACAGCGTCTTGTCTCCATTGGCAACACGCACGATTTGTGTCGATTGCAAGTGACGTCGCAGGTATTGGAGAGTGCAAGTGGCGATTGCAAGTGACTTCGTAATTTAGTTTCTTTTGTCTTGTCTTCACCACCTGGCTACTGTTGTAAAATGTTGAGAGATTCAAACAAAAAGTAATCAATAAATAGAACAAAATAAAAAATAAAAAAGACTGCAAGTGACGTCGCTAGCGGAAGTGCAAGTGTCTGAGAGTGCAAGCCTGTGAATGCACGTCTGAGAGTGCAAGCTGCAGCCAGACCCTTTTGGCATTTTTTAGGGTGTACTGATAAACTGTCTGAAAAAGAAAGAAAGTCACGTTATAGAGAAGAATAAAATCACCCACTGACTTTCAAAGCTGCTACATAGTAACGACTTTCTACTTCGAGGACCTTGATAGAAATGTAGTGGAGTGAAAAGTACAATATTTGTCTTTCAAATGTAGTGAAGTTAAAGTTATAAGTTCCCAGAAAAAATAATACTCAAGTAAAGTACAGATACTCAAAAAGTGTACTTAAGTACAATACTCAAGTAAATGTACTTAGTTACTGTCCAGCTCTGCACTTAACAGTCCAGGAGGCCAGCTAAAATGCATGGGTCAATTCAGAAGTCACATAAAGCATAAAGAGAAACACTATGAACTGACCATATATGTCGTAAAGGGTCCAACAGTGAATAATCTTCTCAGTGGAAGGGCAGTTAAAGAAATGGGCTTGGTTAAATTAATAGAAGAGGTCAATGCAACCATTGGGGACCACGGAAGGCTAAAGACTGAACCAGTTAAGATTCTACTCAGAGAAGGAGCAGAACCGTATGCGGTTAATACTGTCCATAGAGTGCCTTTGCCGCTGCTTCAGAAAGTGAAAGGATGGAAGCAAGTGGAGTGATTGAGAGAGTCACCCAACCAACAGATTTGTGCGCGCCTATGGTGCCTGTTATCAAACCCAACGGACAGGTTCTTATATGTGTAGACCTGAAAAGACTGAATGAAAACATCAAAAGAGAACGATTCATGCTGCCAACAACAGATGAAATTCTCGCAAAACTAGCAGGTGCAAAAGTGTTCACATCGCTAGATGCTGCAAGTGGTTTTTGATACCGCTGCATCCTGAGAGCAGCCGGTTAACAACTTTCATCATGCCATTTGCCAGGTATTGTTTTAAAAGACTTCCATTTGGCATCAGCATTGCACCTGAGATCTTTCAGTGGAAAATGCAAGAGCTATTGTCAGGACTGGAAGGAGTCCAAGTGTACATGGATGACGTCATTGTATATGGAGCGTCCATGCAAGAACATGACACGCGACTGAAGCGCGTAATGGAAACAATGGAACTCGCCGGCCTGAGGTTAAACAAAGACAAATGTAAGATCCGACAAAATGAGCTGCATTTCCTGGGTCCAGGTAGTCGACGAGAAGACCCAGAGAAAGTCAAAGCTATCGCTGAACTTAAAGCCCCCAAAAATTTACATGAGCTTAAGAGAGTGCTGGGGATGCTTAACTACATGGGAAAATATATATCCCACCTGGCAACACTGGGAGGCCCACTATACAAACTCTTAAGAACTGAAACAGCATGGACTTGCGACTCAGCACAGGAGCAAGCATTTCGACAACTAAAGGAAGCTCTTATGACATCGCCAGTATTGTCATTTTATGATGCAGAGAAGCCAACAACTGTATCTGCCGATGCAAGCAGTTATGGCTTGGGAGGAGTGCTACTCCAACAACACGGAGACTGCTGGAAACCTGTTGCATACTGCTCACGAACCCTCACTAGTGCTGAATGTCATTACGCGCAGATAGAGATAGAGTGTCTTGCAGGAGTCTGGGCGTGCAAACATTTCAGCAAATATCTGAGTGGAATGGGGCATTTCAAACTCATTACAGACCACAAGCCAGCCGCTGGTTCCTTTGATAAACTGTAAAGGTTTGGACAATGTACCGATCAGATGCCAAAGACTTTTATTTAGACTAATGAGATTCAATATGACAGTTGAGTATGCTCCAGGTAAAACACTTGTTGTAGCAGACACCTTATCGCGAAGCCCACAAAGCAGCACTGTGGACAGCCACCACCAAAGTGGACGTCAGCTGCTATGTCAATGCAATCGTTGAAAGCCTGCCCGCTTCAAAAGGGAAAAGAAAAGAAATTTGTGATGCAACGCAACAAGATGAGAAATTGCAGAGAGTGAAGCACTTAATTACAATCGGATGGCCTGAGCGTGTTCGAGATG